CCAGGGTCCTCTGAGGCCAACGTGCTGCGTTTTTGCGGCATATGACAGTGGGGCGATGGGCTAACGCGCTCACTGGGGGACTCTCACGGCACATGTCGGGAAATCTTGTGAGGCTTGTTTTTCCGTTCTTCTGTGCCGACTTGTGGCGTAGGCAGGGAAGGCCAACAGTTTGATGCCCGGATTTGTCCGTTGCCCCTTGCAGTGGGTTATTCTTGCTATTGCTATTATTATTATTATGAAGATTGATAATATATTGTTATGACAGTTACAATTATTATTAGGGGGCCATTAGCACCATCGTGAATTGGAGTTTTGCGTGCGGTGCATGAAGAGGGCTGCCACCCCCAAAAAAATGTATAGGGGTTATAGGGGGTTCTATGGGGACATATTGGGATAATGGAAAATAAGCTGGAAACTACTATTTAGGGTTTAGGGTTTAGGGCCATTTAATGCTAGCATTCAGAAGCAGGATTCTGGATACGACCGTTCCCTGTAGATAGACTTTCAGACCCTTTCGTCGAGACTCCAAACTTAGGAACAAGTCTCCTTCTGCTTTGTTTCTGGGCAGTGCCTTAAGTTTGCCGGCAGTGCCCCAACATGCGAAGCGGAAACTGTTTAAGTTTAAGTTGAGTGTGGTCACTAGGACAGTGCGCCTGTTGGCTGCTGGTGCAGGCCCTGGCTAGGATTCTACTTCCATTTCTTTTACATTTCGTTCTCCACTCTCCTAAACCTTTTATAGCCTTATGCAATCATCCTAAACCCTATAGAACCCTATACAGCCAAAACCCTATTAAACCCTGCACAATCCTATTAGTAGGCCGCTATATCAATCCACGGCTGTACCCCTGGCTTGGAGAAGGGCTCAGGGTCCAAAGAAGCAACTCATTTCACCAAGTGCTTGCGAAGGGGCGGCTGGTGTTAGGGTTTAGGGTTTAGGGTTCAGGATTTAGGGTTTAGGGTTTCGGCATAGCTCAAATAGCAGTGCACACCACAAAATCCCCCTACCAACCTAGATATAAGCTACAAACATCAGCGTTCATATCGTTATCCACGTTTTTCCATCTGACTCTCCATTATGTTTTCCCCCAGGCCCTACATGCTACCGCAGTTTCCTTTTGAGTTTTAAATTTGATTCTTCACAATTCGAAGAAAACCACACATGGCCGTAAGTAGCCCTATATATAACCCGAAACGATACTTTACATCCACCACAGAGTGTTGAATTGTGGATCCCCAGACCCTAAACCCTAAACCTTAACACCGTTTTTCTTTTTAAATGTCCTTTTGCTTTGACCTGATCCAGGCCGTTTATGGAGTTTTGTTACATCTGAAGAAGCCATGCTTATTGCCGCTTTTTAAAGGTTCTAAAGGGGGTTTATGGTCTAGGGTTTAGGGTTTACGGTTTTTTTTTGGGAAGGATTGACTAGAGAAACGGAGAATCAAGTGACAAATGAGAATGGAACATGGAATGGAAACTGCAATTTCAGGTTTAGTGTTTTGTGGCCTTTCTCAGGGTTTGGGGGGTCCTTTTGCTGTTCAACTTTTGAAAGCCAGGAGATGTAGAAATGATACATGGCTTTCCAAGGAAGTGTTATGCTTTTCTCATCCTAAGGGTTTAGGCTTCAAGGTTGAAGTTTGGGGTTGGTATGGTAGTTTCCCAAAAACAAGGGCACCCAGTATGCGCCCCAAAAGATTATAATCCATACTTTGAGGGCTCCCAAAATGGTACCCCTAATTTTGGGAAATCCCATATGCCGCTGCTTCTGAGAAAGGTGATGGTCTTTATATTCGTTTCCATTGTCGCAGCAACAGTCAGCACTTCCCCCCTTGCCTAGACATGCAGGTCCCTATGGTTTTGGGTGGGAGTTTCTCCAAAGATTGTTCACATCTCTAGCCTTATGATGATTCTATTCCATTGTACTTCGTCCCTGGTATCAAAATATCCTGGAGATGTTCGGGGTACCCTACACCCTAAACCCTTACCCACATTTTGCAGCAGGTTATGGGTCTCTAGCACAGGTTTTCTCCCTCCCCCAAAACGAACGTGGAGCCCCACAAAGGGACCTAGGAAGGACTACTGGCCGTTGAACATGGGGCTGGTGAGGGCTTCCATGTATTATTTAGACCAATAAACCTTGAACCCTAAACCCTGGCATGTCTGGCTCAGTTGCACTGTTGCCTCAGCTTTCTCTGGGCAAATTCGCCCAGGAGCTTGTTTTGAGGGTTTAGGGTTGCTGGGTAGCCCTCGAGACAATGAAGCGATATTGGCTGAAGCATCCTAAAACCAGAGGCCGCCCGCCCTTGAGACCCACCCCCATACACCCTGAGCCACCCCTAACCTGATTAGGGTTTAGGGTTTAACCCTAAACCCTAAATCCTAGACCCTAAATCAGTTTAGGGTTGAGGGTAGCATGAACTTTAGACCTGGAACCCTTGCCCGAGGCCCCAAAGTCCGGTACACCTGTGAAACAGCTTGCTCTTCACAGCAAGATATAGACGCTAACAAGCCAGAGCCTAGACGGTAGAACCTTGAAAGCGCAGCCCTGAATGTGCTACTATAGTATACCAGAAAAAAACGAAAACTCATGGTTATATACTCCAGTATGTTAAGTACATTAAAGTATATCATAATATATCACAGTAATAGCTTATAATATGTATCAAAACAGTATAGCATGTTATCATATATGAGAGTATATTATTGTTTTCTTAATATTTTGCCATGGCTGTCTCCGAGGAGTTGGGAACCCAGCAAGGATGTTGTAAGAGTGGATGCCGCAAAAAGAACAAAGGACGCCCCGGAAGTTTGTATTTAAGGTTTAGGGTTTAGGGTGGACCCGAACAAACTGCTTGCCCTGGAAACCTCAAAATCAGAGTTCCAATGTTTGGGTTTCTGGGGATGTTCAGGGTTCCGGGAGTGAGGTTTATGGTGCGAGTGGCCCTCAGGCGTTTGGGGCTCAGGGTTTAGGAGCGGAAAAGCCCTGCCCTGCTGAGAGGTTTTCAAAACTGATGTTTTCGCTGTCTTTGACGGAGGGACCATTGGGGAAACGCACCCTTTGAGAGAGATACTAACCAAAAGAGGAACCTTCATTATAGCCACGTTGCTCACAGGTATTTTGAACAACTGCCGTGTGTTTGGCATTGTGTAAGGTATGCTTCAGCCCGAGGACCTAAACCCTAAACCCTAAAGATCCAGGGGTCCCGTTGTGTCCTGACAGTAGGGACAAGAGTATGCAGAGTGCAGGATGCGCAACCATGATTTGGGTTCAGGGTTTTTGGGGGTTTAGGGTTCAGGGTTCGGCTCCAAGGACTGGAGTAGAAGCAAGCTGTCGAGCTTCGTTTACCTTGGAGGTACAGCTCCACGTGGTGTCCCCCAAAATGATCTGACACCCAAGCTCTTCATCCCCCCCTATTACCCTAGACCCCAAATCCTATAGCCTAAGCTGTACCCAGAAACCTAAAACCTGGAGGTTGATGCAGAGGAGGCTGGAAGGCACTTGACGGTGCTAAGCGTCAGATGGTGGTTGCTGGTGCTTAGCTTGTGCTTCAGGGTTCAACTGCTGATTAGACTTGCGGACCTGTCAGATCTCTAGGTGCCTCAAAGTCTCCAGCGGAAGTCCAGAGATGCAATGAAAGATAATACATAGTAAGAATAATCATAGTAATAATAATGTAGGATCAGATGGAAAATAAAATGGAAAATGAAATGGACACTCTGTAAAGATAAAGAGAGCCAATTTCAGGGCAGTGGTTCGCGCACGAGTATCACCTTCAGAGACATGTCAAAACAGACTGATGAATTCGTGTCCTTCTTGACCATTCAGCTGCTGACAAACAGACCACGCATGGAAGTTGACAGATGCACCGCAGCTTCAGTTGAAGTGGGCCCCACGTGGCTGTGCTGTTGCGCAGGCCTTTGATGAGAAGGGCCATGCCTTCGCCGCCGGGTCCTTTCTCCTGCTGGACACGGGTATGGATGTGGGGTCATCACGAAGAGGACTCGTGAATCAAACCAGCTATGCTGTGGTTTGGCAGTACGGGTACGTATGGGTGATTCCTAGTACTGTCTTTGCTGTGTCTTTCAAAGCTTCTTCATGCAATGCCTCGGTCTGGCAGGCACGATAAACTTCCCATGCGACAAGCGGGCTCATCCTTGAAGGAACTTCGTAGTGTAGTAAATACTGCTGCCCATGGCCAATGATCAAGCAATTGGTGGCGCTGACTCTGCTTGTGTGTGGCTCCGGGAGTGTGGTCGATGACAAGCCTTCGCCAATAGACTGTCCTGAGGGCAAGCTGAGGTGGGCAGGCTTGTACTTGGTGAGCACGTTAGTGGAACTATCAAATTGCATTGTTGTGGGTCACGATGCTGAAGTGCATTTGGATGCACCGCTTCGACTGCATCATGTCCTGCTGCAGGGCAGCATCACTTTCTTTGGAGCTGGCAACCGCAACAACGCTTGCATCAAGTCCAGCGGCTTGAACATTACTGGAAACCATACTCGCATAATTTTCAGAGATTGCTCCTCAGGACGTTGTCTCCACGAAAGCACCGGGGTTGTTCAGCACGGTGGCTTTTCTGCCTTTCTGAACTGCCCGCGGGGAGGCATGTACGCCGAAAACTATGTGCAGCTCGCAAGGCATGCCGTCATGAACTTTGAAGACTGCCGCGCTGGTGTCGGTGGGGGCCTTTACACGCCTGGCAAGCTGCATGTTGACAAGACGTCTGCCCTGCAAGCCAGAAGGTGCACGGCCGTGGATGGCGGCGCTGTTCAAACAGGGGATTTGTTCAGCGAAGGTCACCTGCACTTTGAAGATTGCTGGGCCAGAGATTGGGGCGGGGCCCTGCGCACGTACAAACGTGCAATCATTTCTGGGAAAGCAGTCTTCCGAAATTCCAGCAGCGGACGCCGTGGTGCTTGTAGCTTAGAGGGTGGTGGAGGCAAGGGCCAGCGATACCAGTTTTTATTTAGTTTGAATCATCTAGAGACAACTGCCCTGAGGATCTTTTCTGGGGCCTGGTATTGAATTCAAAGAGTGCAATGCTGCCGACTTGCCGATGGGAGGCCCAGCAGCCATCATGTCGCAGGATGAAGAGGCCCGGACGATCATCAAGGTGCCTCAGCCTTGATTAGTTCTTCGAGCTTATTTCTAAATGAGTCTTACTTCGCAACTGCCAGCATGCTTTGAATTCAAAGTTGCATGGGTCTCTTCTTTGGTTATTCATTGTTCTGCCTTTTCTACCAGGATGCATCCTTCATAAACTGTTCGGGTCCTTCCGGCCTAGCTGTGGAGAGCTTTGGATACCTCGTTGTGCAACGAACACGCTTCACCGGTACCTTGCATGTCCTTCAATCGAACGTGTCGCTGAGTGCCAGCCACGTGGACTGCCTTGATGCTGGTTGCTGGGTATTCCTGGGAATTTTGAAGTATTGTGGACCATAATCCCTATCCTTATCCTATATAAGTTTCTACAAACAATAATAAGAAATTTCAATGTTTTTAGGGCTCCTGAATCTATCCCAGGTTGTAGGCTGGAGGCGGGCCCGTTGCATGGTGCAGAGGGTACCTTAAGCTGCAGAAGAGGCATGGGAAAGCCACCGTCCGGGCACGTCATTGGCTGTGAGATCTGTAAACCAGGCACTTATCAGCTTCTGGAAAACTTTAGCGGCGAGTGTCAAAAGTGTTCTGACTACACCGAATTTTGCTATCCAGACAAGCTGAACGTTTCAAAGGGCTTCATGATGTCGCCAGATGGTGTGATGAATTGTCCAAACCCCGCTGTGTGTCCTGGAGGCGTAGTGCCATCAAATGAGCCGTCCATGTGTGATCTTGGGTACGAGGGTG